CAGATTGGCTGTCTACTTCTGTACACTGTTGGTGTGGCTGCACTCTGCCCAGCCAAAGAAAACTCTGAAAATCAGAACTTGACATTGTTTTCTTCAGTCCATGTCACTTTTCTCATGATTGAAAGGTAGTGAAATTTTTCCATAAGGATGGGTGGACTAGAAATAAACAAGAATCAATATTAGCTTTAGAAATTTAACACCTGTGAAACCAAAGAAGGAAAGAAAAAGAAGTTTCACTTGTGATTAACACTGAGACAGATTTTCAAAATGAAATTAACTAGGTAACTTAGCTCAATAAACTTCCAGTCATTTTAACTGGTTCTGAATATTACTCATAAACCTAACATGTTTAATTTTAAGGTTCTAAAGTATAGTGAGTTTGGCTAAACAGTAAATATAATTGTCCTACCTAAAAAGCAAACAAAATATAGAGATAAGGTAATCTGCTTTTCCACTCTCAGTGTTTGTGTTTTATGCACATATGTAAATAGAAAATTTTTAAAAGATTACATATGAAAAAAGGAAGCTGGGAAATATTTGTTGCTATTTTCCAGTCACCCACAGGCTTTTAAATAGCAGCTTCCACTCATACAAGACAATAAAATGTGAGGTTTTGGAGTCTAAGTTTTTGGGCCACAGAAAAAAAAACCTTGAAAGTGCTAGTTCTCAAAACTGACACACCAGCAGGAAAATAAAGAACATTTCACAGTATTTTTCATCTTCTGTCTCTTATAAGTTGTGTTTTGCCTCCCACAGCCCCTGGTTCTGCATCCCTTGCCTGTGTCCTCCCCTGGTGTGACTCAGAAACTCTTTTGGGTCTTTCACAGCATCCTTCCCTATCCTGCTTGCTGGCATTATCCTGTAAGCAGCAGTTTTCCCCATGGGTGCTGTACAGATGGCAGCAGCCCTGACTGCTCAGGGGTGGGCACCACTGTCCCTTGAAGAGGCACCAAAGCCTTCCTCCAGTGCACCCTGTTAACTTGGATGTAACATCCATCACATCTGGATGCTCCCTGCACAAGCTGCTATCTTGTCTGATTGCTGGCACTCCACTTGCTGCTGCATCCTTCTTGCTGGCTTCTCTAAGGGAGAGATTCTTCTTTTATGGCACATTCTTACTTGCCAGGGATATTAATTGAAAAGCAATAGCTGCAGAAAGAACAACAAGATCTAACAGTCAATTACACTGTGCAATGAACATGAAAGTACTGCCAGCTCCTCACAACATATCACTGACCTCAATAAATGCTCTCTTTTTCTGCAATATTCTGTTTGAACATTGTTGCTTTTGCTCCTAAAATATGTTCCCATTGTGATTGTTCTTGTCTTATTTTTCTCATTGATTAACAAGTTCTCATTGATTAACAAGGTGTTAATCAATCAAGTCTCATTGATTAACAAGGTGTGAGGTGGTTTAGGCTGGGATAGAGTTTATTTACAGTAGTTCATATGGGCCTGTATTTTGGATTTGTGCTGAAAACAGTGTTAATAACAGGACGTTTCTGTTATTGCTGAGCTGTGCTCACAGAGTTCTGTGTACACAGAGCACAGACCTGCTCTGCCTCCCACCCCGCCAATGAACAGGCTGGGGGTGCCAAGACAGCTGACCAGGCGAGCAAAGGGATACCCCACACTTTGTGGTGTCATGCTCAGCAACAAAGCTGGGGAAATAGAAAGGAGGGGAGGACAGTCGGAGTGATGGTGTTTGCCTCCACAGGCCACTGTTATGTGTGTGGGAGCCTGGTTTTCCTGGAGACACCTGAACCCCTGCCTGTCCATTGGAACCGGTGAATGAATTTCTTGTTTTCTTTTGCCTGTGTGTGCGTGACTTTTGCTTCACTTACTAAACTGTCTTTATCTCAACCCACAAGGTTTTCCTCCTCCTCTCCCCCATCCCACCATGGGGGAGTGAATGAGTGACTGCATGGGGCTGAGTTGCAAGCTGGGCTTAAACCACCACATTACTACATTATCTCCTGTTTTCTCTACTGTGAAAGGTAAAGGCTATTAATTATTATTCCTTCCTGAAACCCACCTGTCCTGCCAAGGAAACATTCTTAATTTTCTGAGCTCTTATTTCCTCTCTGGATTTTGAATAATATTCCACATCTTCTGGGCATGGATTTCCTGTGCCAGTTTACCTTAAATAAGTGTGGAATTTAAATTCCTGAGTAAATAGCACTCTACCAGTCTAAAAAAAAAAAAAAAAAAAAAAAAAAGAAAGAGGTCTTGAATTAACTCACCTTTGTAAATCACAGCACAAGGTTCCTGGATGTGACCCAGGTTCAAGAGCTTAAGAATGCCCACACACTGGATTTAAATTCATGCCCTAAACCATTTCAGCATTCTTTATGGTGAGGCCTGAAAGCCTATGGACATGGATTAAGTTACTTGTAATAAGATATTGCTGTAGTTATTGCTACTTAAAATATAAGTAATGTGCTTCTTTCAGAAGAACTTTTCTTCCCACAAAAAAAAAAAAAAAAGGAAAAAAAAAAAAAGATGTGCAACATTATATTTTGGAGCATATTTTATATAGGAATCTGCAGCATTGCTTCTTGGCTGATGGCCAGCAAAGCCATTAACAGGAACTAATGGCACAGAAGGAAATTTTCTTCCAGTACTATTTACTAATTGCTAGGAATGAAAACTAAAAATAGACTTTACAAGTTTAGGAGCTAGACTGCAAAATCTGAGAGCACTCTATTAACTTCTAGCTTCTCTACAGCTTTAACTCTCTGAAGTTCTTGGTCACTGATTTCATGAACAAGATTAGGAATGAAGCAAAGGAGGGAGATTTGACTGCATCTATGCACTAGTTGTCTTAGTATTTTATTATTTTTCTCTAGTCCTAATATAAACCCTAATATAATTAGAAACTGAATGTTTTGCTTCCTACTTCTGATGGGTAATTATATGATGCTCCACAACTTGTACAATATTTAAGGAGTCAATTTTGAGCATATCTGTCAAATATACACAGGTCAAAATGCACAGACTCCTCTTTTTCATGGTGCGTGCCTAGTCCCTTCCCAGGCCATTTCATCCCATTAATCCTTGTCTCACAGAGTTTGTCTCTGTCCAGTTCCCCAAGACAATTTGTTGATTAAATCTTCTTAAAGATGAAATGCTGAATTTGCAGCTCACAGTAAATCCTCCATTAAAGCTGTCTCTCATGAGCCTCCCTTGGAAGATGAGACAATATCCCTTCTTCATCTTTCCTTCAGATTTCCACATTCTCTCGGTCCCCAAGGATTGCCAGCAGTTCCTATCCCCCACAACTCTGCAGAAGCAGGTTTCACACCTCTGTTGTCCTACTCCATGCACCTCTGTGGCCTTAGACCACATCATATGGGTACTAATTTTGCCTTCAATTAAATATCATGTGGCAAATATCGTGTGGCTCACAGTGCAATTTAAGAACTGAGTTTGTATAGTAACTCTTTCCCTTAATATCATGTTTTAATTTAGATTTATGATATGTCAATATAACTTGCTGTAGGACTGAGATCTGGTGCAAGGCTTTTGTTTAAAAACTCTGTGGAGCACTTCCTCCTTTGGTGGAGCTGGGTTTATTTGTTGATTTTCAGGTACAGAACTGTATTTCATTGCTAATTCAGTTTCGGTACAGACGAAAAATCCTACCCTGTTTTAATAATGTACCACTGTTTTCATAAAAGGAAGTCATATAATTTCTCTGGCACAATAAGGAAATACAAACAAAACTCAAGTTTCATAAAGCTTTGTACAATTTCAGTACAGATGATTCATTATAACCTGCTAAGCATAAAAGCTGCAAACACAAGAAAACAGGGAAAAGGGCTTGTAGGGCTTTCTTCCTCCGGCAGTGCTTTTCAAGTTTATTAGTTTAGATTCTACCTGTCCTGAATCAGAAAGCCTTTGTAAGAAATGTGAAATCATAACTTACAGGAATAAGTTCTTTTATGGACCAGGACATACAAGCAATACCAGCAATATAAAAAAGAGAAACATGCAAGTAGCACTGCTATCTCTGACTCTCAGAGAAGCATTTACAGACCTTGAGCAAGGTCTGAGTGGAGGAAACAGGAGGAAACTTAACAAAAACGTGATTGAACTTGGTACATTTCTTAACCATAGATTTGACTCCAGTATAGCTGTAAGGGTGGGTTTATGGACTTCTGGATTCATCCCTTTGGACAAAATCAGCTCAACTACAGTGCCAAGACACAGAAGACTGTGGCAATGCTGCTTCCATTCTACAGAAAGGAACTTTTTCAGAAAAAATAGGTGTCTAGGACTTAGCTAAAATGACTAAAGACCATACTTGCTTCTCCTGCTGCTAGGGAGAGCCACCATGGAGAGTGGAGCATGGGCACACAGAGCCACTTGGAAGGGAGCTCCACAGAAAGGCAGGGAGTTCAAGTGCTGTATTGCACATCCCTCTGGTTATTTCTGCTTTCTTTTGGAGAAAATCTTCTCTGTACAACATATAGGAAGACACTACAAATAGCTGTGAGGCAAACACAAGGCCTCTTTTTCCTGCTAGACAGCAGGCTACAGGATTAGGCTCCCTCTACCTTTAATCCCAGTTTCTTGCTTCCTATCTGCATTGCTGGTCCAGCTGAAGTGTGAAAAATGGTGCATGTGTTTGGGCACACAAGGTGGGAGTGGGGAATGGAGAAGTTAGATACTCTACAAGGAAGCCTTCTGCTTGCTGAATCACAAAAATATTGTGTATGTTCTTGCCATTTGATGCTTACAAATAAAATCCTGATGGCACTCCTGCCTGAAAACTCCTCTGGATTTCTACATACAAGGATACCTCCTTTATTCCTCCAAATTAACTGTAGGTGAGTGAGAGGAGCCTACATATTGAAATTGACTTAAGTAGCTGGAGCCATGGATCTTCTATGTAGATGACTTTACACACTTTTGCAGAGCCAAAACCTGAGTTACCAAGAGGTTCCCAAGTGCTTAAAATGTTCACTGAAAGTCCTTTTGACTTAAGGTCTTGCTTAGGCATCTTCAGTGACATTTATATGCCCTAAAAAATGCTTTTCTGTTTTTAACTCTTTTCCAGAATGCAGCTGATTCTGATCTGAAATGAAAAAGCTCTATGGAAGTTGAGGTAATCAATCTGTGCATTCACAAGTCAGAGATGCCTTTAGATATTTCTGGATGCAGACCATAGCATGAAACAGAGGCAGTGTCATCTTTCATCCATAGCACTTCATGCACCCAACTACTGCTGTTTAAATCCACATCCAAACCCCTACAAATATCATGTTCTCCTCTTTCCTGGAGTGTTTTGTTGGAAAGAAAGCTTGATATTAGCCCATAAGAATTTGAGTCTTCTCTGAGCCACTAAGTACCTTAATACAACTCTTGAAAGTGATACGAGAGCAAGCACACTGGTCCCCAGAGGAAAATCATAGTTTGGTTCATATAAAAGCTTTGTTATTTCTTTAGAAGCAGTGCAACAAGGGCCCTAGAGATGCAAACACTGATGATCTCTGCTCCTCATATAACTAATGGCCTGGCTGGTGCCATTGTTTCTGTCTCTTCTTCTGACTCATACTCCTCCACCTCTCTGACAGTGAAGCGAGCCCTTGGCATGGGAGCTGGATTGTGTGCTCTGGTGAAATGATGAGGCCTGATTGAATTTCCTCTGCGAGCTGGCAGGTTGGATGGAGCAGCTCGTCTGTCCAGGTGTGCCATTGGAATCAGCTCCTGGCGCTGCTGTGCTTCCAGCGGCCGTGGTCGGGGCTGGGACCTCGATGTCCATGGCAGCGCAGCATCAGAGCCACTCCTGTGCTGATCTAAAGATAAACAGACAAATAATTCATTTCTTTAAACAAGCAAGAGAGAAATGCCATGGCATTGGAAAGGAGAGATAAAGGGTATTAAATACAATACCCTGGAACTGAAACATTTTAAATAATTACTATAGAATAAGGAAGCAGTCAAGAACTAAAAATAGCCCTAATTTTTAATTTTCATCTCAAAGTCGATGTTTAAAAGATTTTCTTTACCTCATCTCAGCTCTGAAACCCCAGAATATGAGCACATTCACCTTTTGGTGTCACACAGACCTGCCCAATGCCTTCACTGCAAGGGTGAAGAGCAAGAGTGAAATGCAAGAGCTTTCCTTTATGTAATTTAAATTTTTCTAAAATTTCACAAGTGTACCTAGTACTATGGTTAAAAAGCATTTTTAAACCCACAGCACAAAACAAAAATGGGATAAAGGAGAAAATTCTGATCCATCAAAAATCAAGTTTGCCAGTGACCTGTGACTAACAAGATGAACAGTTTCATCTGAAACCAGGGGTGCTTTGATTACTTTGGGTGTGTCAGATCTGCTCCTACCAGCTTGCTTTGCCACAAGTACATTGTAAAAAATTGCCTGCAAGAGACCAGTAACTGGCATTCTTATCCTGCTGAGTTTATAGAATATACTTTTTCCCTTTCCTAAAGCCACTTGTAGTCTAACTACACAGCAGGAAAGTAGTTAATTTAAGAAACAACTCCTAACAATCTAAGCTAGGAGGATCTGGGATATAAACACAGATGTCTATGAACAGCAAAATTAGTCCAAATCCTGCTACAATTCAAGTATACATGTATTAACTGTGGTCACAGTTTCAAAAGTTAAGAAATTATTGCAGATCCATAACTATTCAATTCTTTTAAGCTAATGTTTATTTCACAGTTGGCACAGTAAAGCACTGCTGCTCATAGGCCACATGGACATACTACACCCCACGCAGGATAGGATTTCTCAGGTTTCCAGGGCTTCCACTCAGCCCTTTGGGAGCATCACTGCTACAAAGAATGAATGATATATACTGCCAAAGAAATAATTCATAAAATCATAGACTGGTTAGGGTTGGAAGGGACCTTTAAGGTCCCTTACCTCTGCCCCCCTTCCATAAACAGGGAATCTTCCACTAGACCAGGCTGGTCAGCCCCATCCACTTGCTCATGAACATCTTCAGGGATGGGGAGTCCATAATTTGTCTGGGCAATGACAACTTCTCTGAACAATTCATTTATATGAGTGTCAGAAAGAGCTGGTAGGTGACTTAAGGATCAATTTAAGGTATTTCTGAGCTTTATTTACTAAAATTTCTGCACATGCTGTATATAAGACCTAAATCAAGCTTGCTGAAAGATTTTTTTCCAGAAGGTCTTCCAGGCATAGGCAGAAGAGATGACATTCATCTCTGAAAATGCATGTGTGCATTAATGAGGTTGTCACTCTAATTCCCTACATACTGAGTACTTCTCTTCTTAGTTTTCAAGAGCAATTTATCTCATCCCAAGAGTTTATGAGAGACTTTAGGGTGGCTTTTTCCTGCTGAAGACACTTAAAGTGGTGTTAATGCCACACAACGGCCCTAAGGAGGGGCCAGAGGCTAGGCCAAAAAAAATGTTTTATTTTGATAGATTACAAGGCAGGCCTTAAATTCAGGCCTAATAGAAAAAAAAATACTGGCATTCACTGCCCACTAAAATAATGCATCTACCTCCTACAGCAGCATTTGGTTCCTTGCAAGTGTCTGCAGTGCTTTTAGGTCTGAGACTGCTGTGCGGAATACTTTAGGTCTTTTAGGCAGGGAAGACTGGCTGCCCAAGGCCAGCTGCTGGAGGGTCCCACAATACACGAGGGAGAGCGTAATACCAAGTGTCTGTGTGCATGTGTGTCTGTGTGCCAGCAGCTGATGGGGGCTGTGTCCCCAGGGACTCAACATGCCCAAGTGCCACCAAATGTGCAGATGGAAGGTCCAGGGCCAGGTGCTGAGCAGCGCATGTATCTCAGGCCAGCTACTGAAGATTCAGATAGCATGCATGTATTTATAATTTTTCACTAACAGTCTATCAGCCTCATCAGCCAGAGAGGGGACAAGGACATGGCCATTGGTGCTGTTTGCATTTGTGTGAGCCCTGTGCCATGCCAGTGATGCTCTCTGTGTCTGGCTGTGTGTACACATGCACTGAATTTTGGTGTGGGGTTGCATGTTGGGAATACCTGCTCAGTTTTGGTATCTGCAGGACTTGGGGCATGGAGCTCCATCAGTCTCACCTGGACTGGGCTACAGGTTCAGAAATGCATAATAATTTTGCATACAGCTCTGTCTGCAGGGCTGCAGGGAATGGCTAATTTGTGTTCTTGAGCTTGGCCAGGTGGAACTGCAGGGATCACAGGAATATTTGTTCAAGAGGGAAAAAGAGAAAAGCAGGAGGTGCTGGAACAAAACAAACTGCTGCAGTAATGATCATATAAACAACATAGATAAAACAGAAAGGAGAGAAGGGTGTAGCGCATTTAAAGAGGCTGTAAGCTTCCACGGGACTGTGCATGTAGTACTGTTAAATCCACCAAACAACTGGCCAAGTTTCTTTTGCTACTGGAGTAGGATACAGGGTAAAGCACTTCCATTACCTGTAAAAGTAACATGCCTGGCTTTTCTTCTAGTGGGCTGGCGTGGACCCTGAGGCAAGGAGAGGTAGCGTATTTCCGTGGTCTTAACCTGTGCAGGAAACAGAAGTGTGTGCAGTGCCTATGATTGCCTCCACTGGGCACTTACTTGGTGAAACAGTAAAGAGTTATAGCAATATGCTGCACCTTTAAAGCCAAATTTTGATAGGCGTGAATAAGATCAATGCTTGGTTTGGATGGTTGAACTCACATCAGCTCCAGTGAGAATGTCAGTCTGATATAACAGCCAAAGGAGTTTTTACTGTCACCAGAGAAAAACATGTTCTTCTAAGATTCACCTTTCTTATTTCAGGTGAAAAATTTGAATACAACTAATCCATCCAACAAGAACTTATTTCTCTTCCTTAACCATGATTATCTCAGCTATAAATGTCTGTACTGTTCAATGCCTCCCTTTAGTCAAACAAATCTCTTACTGATTGAGAACCAAAATCATCAACGTGCCAGAGGCTTTGCATCAGGCCTTTTTTGATTACACTATACTTTGCACATGCAAAATCAATGCAAGTTACATTATTTTGCTACACACAGCCAGAGCAGCTGATTTCTGACAAATGTATAGAGATGGGACATGAAAACTTTGCTGCTCCCACGCTAAGTGAAGCTCTTTTTTTGTAAGTGCTGCATGAGCACACCGGGAAAACACCCATTTTAATGCAGTGAAGGGCACATTAAAATTAGTGTCTTTCCATATTTACAGAGAAGCAGAGGGATTTTTACATAAGTAGATGGATAACAGGTACCGGTCTACCCCAAGGCAAGCTGTTTCCCTTCCTGCAACTTAGCCTCAGGCTGTGTTCCCGACGGATGAGGATTTCTTGCACTTGTTTCTCACTTGTCTCAGTAGGAAGATTGTGCCTGTTGTATGCTGGTGCCTGAAAGAAAAGATTCAGCTAGCTCATTTTCAATGCATTTGCAATGTTAATCAGTCTGATCAATCACAGAGCCAAGGGGACATCTGCCTCAGCTCGGTCACCGACCCAACGCAGACCGCTTTGGTATCACACGGCAAAATGCAGCCACGCGCAAATCTCACTGCTGCAGAGCAAGATGGGAGGGAGCTGAACACAGCTGTAAGCCTCAGACATCAAGGGCTGTGTTTTGATGCCATTTTTGATAGACTCTTACGTGCCCAAAGTGCAGGTATAGAAAATATACCTACTTAAGAAGGCTGTTATCATCTCTGGGCTTGCCTTGTCATCTGTTTTCTCATCTCCTCAAGTGTAGTTGGGAGCTACAGATATGAGGCAGGTCCCAAGAAAGAGATAACTGGTTAACTCAGCTCTGAGCTTTGGTCCTAATATTACTGAGTTTGGAACAAGATTCAGATACACTCAGGAGAAAAGAATGAATCTCCAGAATGAGATGCACAACTGAGTTTCCTTTCCATACTTGCACAAACTTCAAATTTGTATTACCCTTAAACTTTTTAGTTTATCATCTACATCTAGTGAAATGAAGGAAATAATTATCGGCCTTAAAGAGAAAAATACACTGAAATTTATAATCCCTCTTAAAAAGTAGAATCTCATCTCAGTTTCATTTGCAAGGGTCCTTGTAAAACTGGTCTGCGGAGCAAGAGCTTTTCAGAGCTGAAAAGGAGTATTAGAAGCAGCATTACTTTCCATCCAATCTTTCATTTCCAAAAGCACACCATTCTCAATACTACATAGGAAATGACTAGCACAAATAGTCATTACTGTAATTGATTTTGAAGAGAGAGAGTTCATTTCAGTAAGCTAAGAGATAACTATATATGCAAATTGTTGCTGGTAAGATAAGAAATTAATATCATAAGGATAATTAGGCATGGCAAGTCAAACAATGTTAGGAATGAATAACATATTAATAATGTCACATTTAAATGAGCAGGCCCTAGCATTTTCTAGTACACGTGTGTTACATGAGTTAGCCTTGTTTATCGGCATAATTTCAAGGTTACTGTAATGTATTCTCTCCCACTCATTGCTGTGGGCGAGCTCTCAATTGTCTATTCAGTGCCCGAGACCGGATTAAGCAGATACCATACCCTGGGCTGCATCAGGGTCACTCCAAATTTCTACAAAACAAATCCCCGCTGAGGTATTACCACACCACTTCTACAGGGAAACAAACAACCTAAACGTGTCAAATGAAGCTCGGAGGACGTGGAAATCTTTTTTTTTTTCCTCGTTATTTTCCTCCCGCGGCGCGGTGTTTGCCGCTCCCAACACGCGGGGCTGCGCGGGGTTTGCCCGCCCGCCCCCGCAGCGCAGTT